GGAGCTGGGAATGTTCCCCTGGAGAAGGGAAGGGGCCGGGGAGAGCTCAGAGCCCCTGGCAGGGCCTGGAGGGGCTCCAGGAGAGCTGGAGAGGGACTGGGGACAAGGGATGGACAGACAGGACACAGGGAATGGGGTCACACTGGGAAAGGGGGATTGAAATGGGATTTTGGGATGGAATGGGGTTGGGGAGGGGCTGGGATGGAATTCCTGGAGAAGAGGATCCCTGGGAGTGCCCCAGGGTGGATGGAGTTCGGGTTCACAGCGGGAGAAATGGAAATTTAGATGGATTTTGGCATAGAATTCTTCCTTTCGAGGGTGTTGAGGGAGCTGGAGAGGGACAGGACACAGGGAATGGGGTCACACTGGGAAAGAGGGGATTGGGGTGGGATTTTGGGATGAAATTCTCCCTTTTGGGGTGGGGAGGGGCTGGGATGGAATTCCCAGAGCAGCTGTGGGTCCCTGGGAATGTCCCCAAGGCCAGGCTGGAGCACCCGGGGACAGGGGAGGGGTCCAAAAAAGCCCCAAAATGGAACCCTGGAATGTTTGGGGTGGGAGAGACCACAAACCCCATCCAGCCCCACCCCTCAGGGACCCCATTCCCCTCCCASGCTGCTCCAGCCCCTTCTCGAACAATCCCTGGGAACAAAAAGTTCCCAAAATWCCCCCGTTCCGGATTTACGGGAATTTTCCCTCCCCCACCGAGGTTTTTCTTTGCCAAATCGTCCCCAAAAACCGCGGGAGCCCAAAAATACCTAAAACCTCCCTCGGCTCCCCGCGGCGCATCCCAACCCCAGGAACCGCTAATTCCACCCCCAGGAGCTGCAGGGTTCRTTAATCAAGGCCTTGATTAGCGAGGCCAATTATTTCTGCATCTCATTAGCGTGGAAGTGCTAATTAAACCACTCCACGCTTCCCTCTTTTTCCGTTAAAAAACCCCGAAAACATAAAAGGATTGATGAGGAATTTTCCTTGCGCCAGCAGGGCCGAGGCGCGGAGCCGGCGCCGATATTCCCAAAAATCTGAATTTCCAGGAGGTTTTGCTGCCGTTTTTGGAGTTTTCCGATGGGATTTTGGGGATATTTGGGGTTTTTTCCCTGTCTGGACCCATATCCTGAGGTTTTATCCTGGGATGGAGCAGAGTTGGGTGAAACCAAGCTTGGGACAAAATTCCAGCCTGTGGGGGAAAACCCTGGATTCCTGAAAATCCCTGCATTCCGTGTGGGATCCCGGTGGAATCCGTGTGGGATCCGTGTGGGATCACTGAGCATTCYTGGATGGATCTCTGTGGRATCTCCTGGAATTCCTTGAGAGATCCATCTGGGATTTCTGGACATTCCCAGATGGATCCATGTGGGATCCCTGTGGGATCTCTGAGCATTCCCGGATGAATTCCTGTGGGATCTCTGGGCATTCCTGGATGGATGGGAATTCCTGGATCTGTGTGGGATCTGTGTGAGATCCATGTGGGATCTGTGTGAGATCTATGTGGGATCTCTGAGCATTCCTTAAGGGATCCATATGGGATCTCTGGGCATTTTATTTTATTTTATTTTATTTTATTTTATTTTATTTTATTTTATTTTATTTTATTTTATTTTATT